GGGCGCGCCCACCTCCCCGGCCCCACCTGCGCCCGGCCGGTCGCCGCCCAGGCCGGGCTCCTCCTGCCCGCGCTCCCGAGTTCTCGCTCCGGCTTCGGCCGGGCGTGCAGAGATCCGAGCGGGGCTGAGGCTGCAAGTGGGGGTGACAGGCTGGCTGGCGGGTGTTGTGGTGCGGAGGAGGCAGCACGTGTGGTGTTGTGTCTGTCGGGCTGTCAGCCCGGGCGCCGGGAGGGGAGGCAGCGGGCTGCCTGTCAACCGTCGGCCGGTTTGGACAGGAGCTGCCCGACCTGTCAGGCTCCCCAGGCAGCCTGCGTGCCCCAAATCCTCCTTGGAACCGGCCTTTGTGGAGCTTAGGATTTGGAGGAGCTGGGAATGGAAGATACATTGGTCTTAACTCTTTCACGTGATTTCATTGTTAACTTATTCTTCGGATTCTGTTTCCAACAAATGGGAACGGCGGAGCTATCCGTTGGCAAGCTGCAGGGTTGTGCAGTTTCAAGTTTTTAAAGTTTCTTGCTCTTTAAAAAGAGAGCGCGAAGATGTGTTTGGGGGTGGGGAATGGAGACGGGGAAGGACTGTCGGAAGCAAGTTGTGCTTTCTCTCTAGCAGCTGGTGTACTTTCAGAGAGTTAAAGTTCAAGTCTGTAGGCGCTTTACGTTCGGAAAACTTGGAGACTGGTGAAAATCCCCGGTGGGAGAAACAATGAGTAACTGTCATTCTTTTACTGCGAATTTAATCAATTAGGACGTTCCCAACTTCTTAAAGTCAGGTTTTAGCTTCTTATTTAGTTTAGCTAAGTTAATGTCTACATAATGAACTTTCGTGGAGTAATAATACTAGGATTTCTATCTCTCGAGACTCTCACCAAAATGAAGCATAGCTCTCTCAGGGGGCTTCTTTTTAGTCAGCAAATTTAAAAATAAATCTTGGCTCAGATTTGAGTGTTTTCTGCAGCCTTTTCTTTCCTAGTATCTGTTAGTTTTCCTTTGTATTTTAATGTCACTTTTAAGAATAATTGCTCTGGGAGCCATTTTTCTAGCATTGTTTATGTTGTAAATGCTCAGAATAAGAGCAGAGGTCTAAAAAAACACCTAAGTTATTTTTGGAAGCAAATAACTTATTCAGAATGAGAATTCATTATTTTGGTGATTTAAAAAAAAGATTTGTATCTGCTAGTTTCTTTTGTCTGAAAGAAGACTATTGACTTTGATCTTGGAGAGGCAGTATATTTATGTTTGTGTTTTATTCATTAATGTTAATTCAGGATAGCAATCTTGAATCTGTATGAGATCTCTTTAGATCTGCGAACAGTTCTGTACTGTACATTTGATGTGTAGTGGGTGTGTTTGAACACAGTGATCCTGGGCCTTTCTCATTTCTAGTTTCTCTGTCTGTAGATTGGTTATGAATATTTTGACACCTGTTACTCCCTTTAGGAGAAACTATCTGCATGTAATTTTTAAAATTTGAATGAAATTGGGTTATTTATAACTTCCTTAAACACTTTTAACACTTGACTATTTTCAATGTTTTGTGTCCATTCGGAATATTTAAAGTAATGTACTTAAAATATGAACTTGGTCTGTGTAAATTGTATTTGTTGTTTCTTTAACATATGAAATAGTTAAAAATTCCTCACTGGTTTTCTGCCTACCTTATTGACTGTTTTTGTCCAGTCTGAATGTCTGGAATTTTAAAAAATGAAAGATTCACTCTTACTTTCATTACAGGATTCTTTCTACTAATCCAGATACTTGTTGAAGTACTCAATAGTTTCTTGGGGAAAGATGTCAAGGAAGAGTTTCAATTCATAGACTGGTGAGCAGAGATTATGGAGTACAGAATAACCAGCACCCTCTAGTTAGTTGTAGTCTGAGATCATTCACAGTGCATCTCATTTTGTTTCCTCATTGTGTCCTAATTATTCATCTTTTTTGCCTTTTTTATCCCATTGATTTACAGACATGATTGTTTTGGAATGTTGATAGAAACATGTTAAAACTCCTACAGGTCCTTAAAAAACACTTGCTATTTGCTTTTAAAGACTAGGATGTTTCAGTTAGTGTTTATTTACAAAATGGGCGTTGATAGAAAACTGACTTTGTTTTCATTGTTTTTCAGGCATAAGATGCACATTTTTCTGCTGGGAATGACATGTTCATGAGTTTTTACAACTTTATGAAGAGACCCATGTGTGGTGCTATTGAGAAATTTATTGGGAAATTTGAAGACATTTCAAATAACTGGTTGTTTTGATTTCTAAAGTAAAGTGGAGAGGCATTCTGTTTTGTGAAAAGAAGGAAGGACTTAGGCCAGAAAACTTGTATGCTATGGTTAACTGGTTCTCAGCCTCCGAGAAAGTTGTTTTCCATGGTGTAAAACTTAGTCAGCATCAGGATAAAGGATAACGACTCTATGGATATACGAATCCTTCACCATGGTAAAACTCGCTAACCCGCTGTATACGGAATGGATTTTGGAGGCCATCAAAAAAGTGAAGAAGCAGAAACAGCGTCCTTCAGAAGAAAGGATATGCAATGCAGTGTCTTCATCCCATGGCTTGGATCGTAAAACTGTTTTAGAACAATTGGAGTTGAGTGTTAAAGATGGAACAATTTTAAAAGTTTCAAATAAAGGTCTCAATTCCTATAAAGATCCTGATAATCCTGGGCGAATAGCACTTCCTAAACCTCGAAACCATGGAAAATTGGACAATAAACAAAATATAGATTGGAATAAACTGATCAAGCGGGCAGTTGATGGCTTGGCAGAGTCTGGTGGCTCAACTTTGAAAAGCATCGAACGTTTTTTGAAAGGTCAGAAGGATGTGTCTGCGTTATTTGGAGGCAGTGCCGCCTCTGGCTTTCACCAGCAGTTACGATTGGCTATTAAACGCGCCATTGGCCATGGCAGACTTCTTAAAGATGGACCTCTGTATCGGCTCAACACTAAAGCAACCAATGTGGACGGGAAAGAGAGTTGTGAATCTCTTTCCTCTTTACCACCAGTGTCACTCCTTCCACACGAAAAGGATAAGGTGAGAATGGTATATGCATCAGTGTTCACAGAGCTGATGATGTATGCTACAAAGTCATGTTTCTAGGACGTTATATAGAGAATTACACAAGTTTTGTGTTTGGAGACTTGTAGAATGATCACCTTGGGGTTTTTACTGGTGAGTTCTAGGTTTGAGAACTCAATAGATGGTAATTGTTCTGATACTTTGACATATTTGATGCCTAAGATTCAAAATGTAGAGTATCGATCAACCTAAATGAACATGTTTAGATTTGAATTAAAAAAGTAGCATACATCTTTAAAACTGTTGCATGGAAGTTATTGTAATACCATACTACTGGAAGCCAATGAGCAGCCAAATGCTGGAGACTTGAATTTGAAACAAGCAGATGACTAAGAACCTGTCTTTCTTTTTTGCATTTGTTGCAGATTATCATTAGGTAGAAATAAGACCTATTTTCCAGACTCAGGTAGTAGCTAAGCAGATTTAGCAATTCTTATTTTTGCTGTTTGTATTCTAAACTTTCTATCATGTAGTAATTATTCTTTGCATATGACAAAGTTCTAAATGTTATGTATGACAGGTTAGACTACATGCGTCAGGAATACAGCATCCTATGTTAGTAAAGTTCTGGGGTGTGGAGAGTTTTGATGCACAGGTGGTATACCTTACCATGCTGTTATTTGTGCATTTGAAAAGATGTCATCACAATAAATTTTGGCCCTTAAATAGATATTCAGGGATGAGGAGAATTTTGTTAATAGCCTTTTTTTTTTTTTTTTTTTTTAACATTGGCCTTGTGTCTTAGCTGTAAATTTATTTTAATTGCTCTGAATTGTACTGTGGAAGTGGTAGTAATTTAAGTTGTACACCTTAGTGTACAATAGTAAAATAATCTTCATTTTGCTTAAGATCATCAAGGCTACTTCTAGGATGAGAAAATTATAAAATTAACATTAAATGTATTTTAAACTATTTGAGCTATGGTCTAAATTTACTGTAGTTATTAACCCACCTATAGATTTTTATTTAAATAGTAATTAAAAATTAACAGTGTATCTCTTTGATGAAGTTTTTAGAGATCTATTTTAGGTTTCAGTTTTCTCTGAACTTTGAAATAGAAATATTATCTTACCGTTATTACCATTAAAATGATTCTAATAGAGAATCCTATTCATAAAATTGTTCTATATCATTTAAGCATTTATTAAGAGTGTGTTATTAAAAATTCAGGATGTTTAAAAAAAGTTTGTAAAAATTCAGGATGGACAAGAAACTAAAATGCTTTATTCTGTTGTTCAGTCCTGTGAGAACTTTCTTGATCACATGTGGCTGAAGTGAAAAGAAATATAACACTTGATTCCTACAATTGTTATCAAAAATCTACAAAGGTTAACTGCATGGTAACGGAATAATTTATCATTTAGAACGAATTCAGTATTATATCTGTGATTGGGTATTATAAATTCTTGTTAGAACATCTGAGTGTGTGCTTTTATTATAATTTCCCTTGTTCGAATTAGATATTTTAATTTTTAAAAATATTAGCTATACATAAAATGTCAGTTGTGCATATTTCTAAAAGGTAGTCAACATTGTGCAATGTAGGACAAATTTGAGTCTTATCACCCTAGGATTTTACTTTTGAAAGGGAGACCTTGAGAACCTTCTAACC